GGTGTTGCGACCCCGGAGTGACATGGTGAAGATTAATGTCGATCTCTTGATTTAGTAGGTTTCATATAAATTAAAAGAGAGGAACTATGATGTTTTATATTTGAAGAAATAAAAGGCTTTGGTGGTATTCGGGCTTGGTATGACATCATGCATTTCTTACTGCAGATCTATATCTTGGACGTTCAAGTAGCACCGTCATTTCCTGCTTTTCTAGCTTTTCTGGTTTTGGTATATTTTCCCAGAAGATACATATGACACGCATTTCCTCAAAAAGTATACAAGAAATAGACTAAAGTGAGATATGGCTTTAATGGGTAGAAGTGGACATAACTTCTTACTGATATATGATTGCCTCAAGTATTCAACCATATCTAACATTGCCGGAGCCATCTCCAAACCAGTCATCCGCAGCCAGGGACTCATCAGGCGAAGCATAGTTTATGATTGTGCTTTTCGATGTTGTATAGGCATTGTAAGCCTCGACCCCGTTCTCGCTTCCGACTCCGCTCGCAGACTTGGAACCTCCCCATGGACTGCTAGGGTCATTTCGATGATGAGTATTAACCCAAGTAATTCCTGCCTCAATCTGCTCGCATACTCGGAAAGCCTGGGGAAGGTCGAGTGTCCATACACCAGCTCCCAATCCAAACTCGCTGTCATTTGCCAATGCGATTGCTTGTTCTTCGGTGTCGAAACCAGCAACGACAATAACAGGACCGAAAGCCTCCTCGCGCCAGATACATGTCTTCACAATACTATTATTTTCTTTGCTGGATGCAAGTAGCGTTGGTTCGTAGAAATATCCCTTCTCGAGGTCGAACTCGTCAAGCGGGCTTCGAGAGACCATCCGCTTCGCACCAACGAGAGAAACCGCATTTCCTCCCTCTAGAGCGCTGTTAACAAGACGCTCCACATTTAGCAACTGCTTCTCGGAGATAAGTGGCCCCATAGTTGATTCTGGGTTGCTTGGGGCTCCAATTCGTCGTGTAATGCTCTCAATCTTGGCCTTGAGCTTGTGCAATAGCTCGTCCATGATCGAGTTCTGGGCTATAATTCGGGTGCTGGCCACACAGGTCTGTCCACTTGCGATGAAGCTTCCAAAGACAATTCCGTTGATCGCCGTATCGATGTTGGCCTTCTCAAACACGATCAAGGGCGCTTTTCCACCCAACTCAGCGGTGTATTTTGCCAGATTTCCACCAACAATCTTTCCAATAGCCCTGCCAGCCTCGGTACCACCAGTCACATCCACCTTTTTCACCAAGGGATGCTCAACCAGTGATTTACCAGTGATAGCTCCATAACCAGGTAAGACGCTGAACACGCCATCTGGAATTCCGGCCTCGCGAAGAATTTTACCCAACATGAGAGTCGTCAATGGAGTCAGCTCGCTAGGCTTAATTATGACACTGTTTCCAGCGGCAAGCGCTGGAGCGAGCTTCTTTACGGCGATCAACAACGGGTGATTAAACGGGGTGATCTGAACGACCACTCCGAGAGGCACTCGGTCGACAAAGTTGTGCAATTTACCCATCGTCGGCAGGACAGACCGCTCCTCGACCCTTAGCAGAGAGGCATAGTATTTGAACCATCTTGTCAGAGATGGAACTTGGGCCTTCATTTCCCGAATGACCCGGCCCGTCTGCTTTGATTCAGTTGAGATGAGTTGCGGGAGGATATCGGAGAGAAGCGCTGCGCATTTATCTAACACATCGGCACGGTGATGACGACTCGCACGCGACCATACGCCGGACTTGTATGCTGCATGGGCCGCGGAGATGGCGGTCTCGACATCTTCTGGCGAGGCTGCGTGACAGCTATCAATTGTTAGACTGGGATCAAAGGGCTTCTTTCGAATTGGCTTACTGTGCAAAGATCTCTCCGGTTGCTGGATCTTCAATGGGAATGCTATTATACATGTCAATGGTGGTTCGAGAGGGTCAAGATAGTCGTTACCCACCGGTCTGCATTCCCATCTTGCTCTTTACCGGCCAACCACAAACGATATTCCATTTTTGAGAGAAAATATTCAGGTACATGAAACCAAAATCAGGGGGAATGTCTTTATAAATTGCGCTTATCTGGCTTATCTGCAGATGAGGGGTTAACGGTATTCGATCCGATCTCGGGGTCTTCCTGTTTCTAGGGGAATTTCAATGTTTCATCCTCAGTATCCTGTGTATGTCAAATGGATTACATTCATGATCAGGTAAATGTTGGGTAGGGGGGCCATGTCGATCATTTCTCCAAATTGAAATGTCGCGAGCTGCACTGTTTTCAACTTCAAATCCCCCACCATGTTTGATTATGCCAATAATACGCCCGTAAATAAGGCTGTCAAGACACTTTCCCAACCTATCGGAATCAGACAAGAACACATTGCCGATGAAGAAACTCTCCTCTACCTGAAACCTAAATATGACCACCGATCGCCCAATGAATACACTATCAAGAGATATTGGGATGACTCGACCATTTTCACAGTGACTGGTCACAAATATGGCGACACCCCAGCTCGCGAATTTCGCGACTCATCAGGACTTCCAATGTTTCAGTCTCGTGCGGCCGTCCTCGCATGGAAAAGACCACTCCGGGTGCGATTACCCGGCAAAGAAGACGAAGAACTTGTGGATTTCAAGGTTGATATGAACAAAGTCTACAGACTCACATTTCGCAACTCGATGGAGCCGGACTCCAAAAGCGAGCGCGACAGAATGGTGACTGTAGAATTGCGAGAGACGGGCTCTTTTGCGTGGCAAGGATTCTCGGCCAGTGTTGGGGGCCAGAAAGTGGTGGATGTTCGTGAGAGCATGACAATGAACAAAACACTACCCAAAGCTACCTCTCAAGGTGATGTTTCCTTGATGCCGCGACAAGTGCTTGAGATTCTTGTGGCTGAGGGCTTTGACTTGTCCCTAGTGAGTGCATCTTGTTTGGTTGGTAAACAAAATCTAACTGCTCTGTTCAGGCTGCACTCATTGCCGTGTACATGGCAGATACGAGGTTCAGTACTGCACCTCCTCCCCGATGCTAAGGACTTTTAGATATTACAATGAACTAGTCTCAATCCACGTCTTTCCTGCAATATGAAGTACAAAATGTTATGAAATCTTTGGGTGTATATGCCACTTTGTTACCTCTCAAATGTCTGAAAAGATTTCCCATCTCCCCACCTATATATGGCTACTGTTCTTCTCTCACGGCTTTTATTTCTCACTTACATCTGCGATGTCAGCTATTAAAGCTACCGTTTCATTTTTCTGGTATATCACTGAGTATTCTCTTTTTGTTTAACGGCCTGCAACAACAATTAGTAGCTATCTATATATAATCGCCTCCAAGTGCCAGTGCCATCTTCCATTATTCAAAAGCTCAGGCTTGCCTGTATGCATCTATATAAGCGAGTAGGTCACCGTTTAAGTGGAAGGACTATGAGCAAAAGTTTGCAAGTATTTACTTCGTCCGCGCTTTTTCACGATGACCATTCCCGTTTGCTAGGTTCATGAATCGTGATCCCTTGTAATAGTGCTCGTATATTTCCTAAGGTATGTATAATTATATAAGTGCTGAAAAGATAGTACCTTGCGCCCTTTGACATGCAGGTGCACACAATCAATTAACCGAAATACACTATGTACCTATAGCCATTGACCTCAACAATAGTCAAATGCAAAACTCATCAAAAACTGGATTGTACTTGCACTTCTTAAGGTTATGAAACTAGAAAATGAAATTTCGCATTTCGCATTTACGGCGCTACTAACCCAATCACAATTTGTCTACCGACACCTCTAGTGCGGTTTAAGCGTATATCTGCATTCATTCTTTCCGAATATATACCGAGTTGTTCCTATTATTCCATTCATATTAACGTTCATTCAATCTTAGGCCGCTTTTCAATTGAAGCCAAGCGTCGTAAGTTTCACACTCAATTGGGTAATTTCACTCTAGCTAATCTGCTCCCACACATTAGGCGTCCACTTTGAAGACTGACGCTCGTTACCTGAACAATTTCATTTTAGAAAAGATAGATAATATACATAGTAGTTGTAGCTAAAACTGGCAAAAAAAGAAGATGTAACGACGGCTGCATGATTCGAACATGCGCCTCCGAAGAGAATTGATTTCTAGTCAATCGCCTTAGACCACTCGGCCAAACCGCCATTATGAAAAAATTGGTCAAAATGTGCATTATGCTAGAATAGTCATATTAGAGGCTACTGTACTACTGTAGTCCTTATTGGGATTGGTGGATCGCGCTTGGTGGAACGATCGTTCAGATCCAGTTTGAAATAATCTCAAATCAAGCCTTCAAATTCAGGGGCTGGATCTCGTATCAAGAGGCGTCTAGGGAATCTTTTCCATTGATGGCCGGAAAACCATATTGGCAAACCCATTTCTACCCTGAATAGAGAGGCATAAAGAGCATTGACATTTTCTTCAGGGGTAAATCTTTGGCATCTCTGAGTTTCGACCAAGTTTTTCTCGGAGACGTGGAGCCGGTGCTTTTGCTGTGCTCGTATACCTGGCCATTCACGGACCTCAGGGTCTGTAGAACCATCCAGAAGTTTTGTATACTCCGCCCGAACTCTCGGTGAGTTCTCTACCTTGCATCAGTGGGGGAACTATAATAAGACCAAGACTTGAGAGCCTTCTGGACAGTAGCCAAAATAAAGTTCGAGAATAGAGGGCACAAGCGTTTGAAATGCACGAGTGAATGATAGTTCCAAAACATTTTCGAATGCCTCTTTTGTCGAGATCTAGGTACAATTTGGAAATCCTATAATCCATAGCCGAATGGGATTGCCGTAGCGGTAGCCTACCGCTGAAGGTTTGATGACAATTTGATAGGGTAGGGTATAGTTTTTCCCTGTTCTTATTGCCCTACAATGCTAAGGAATGCGAATTACCAATACTGAGGCCTGGCCGACATATCCACGCCAGTACTCCATATCCCGTAAATTGGTTAAAAAGTCGCAGTAGCCACCATTAGAGTGAGGCTAAGGGTCGAGTTCTTGCATCTGTGATACACCGATACTATCTAGCCTAGCATGTGTGATCTTTCCTCACTGAAGATAGTGGGTAATACACACATTTTCACTGTGATTATTTTCCCCTGGAGTGCGAAAACACGAGGGTCGATTGCATTCATTGCCAGTTGGGTAAAATCCTTTTCGCCCCCAGCAGCATCAATCACAGACTGATAGGCTAAATGCTCGATCAGAGGGTCTTTGATCTCTTGTCTGTGCAGTTTCTGCACAAGCGAAAGGACGATTGCCCCCATTTCGGGCATCTTGATTTGGTGTTGAGTCTAAATAACCTGAATCAGATATAGGTTTGGGCTGGCCACACTTGAATCAGGTTGGCTCATCCTGCTGGCAACCCTGCTTCAGTTGACCCTTCTTGCCACATCGAAAGCAAGCTTGCATACAAGCTCGCAGATCTTGAGCTGGGCTTTGTTCTCGTCTTTCCGCTTTTTTGATGGCCAGCCATATTTCATGTGACCCTTCTCTCCACGCTTGAAGCAGACTGGTGCCTGTTTACAAGTGGCAGAGTGGTTGGGCTTCATGGACTTATGGCACCACCTGCAGTGAGATTGGCAGTCTGTAGCACAGTGGTCACTGAAACTGCATCTACTGCAAAACATGCAATCGCTCGGAAGAAAGGATGGCATACTGGGATGTCGCTTGGGTACCTGGAAGGGAACGAAAGAGAGATAAGCGATGTTAAATCAACAGTTATCAAGAACAATAAAGAGGAGGAAGGTGGGGAGCAGGAAGATAAAAAAAAATAACATCTAATGGCCAAGGCATTTGGCTAGCAAGCACGAGCGGCAATTTAAGAGAGCAACTCTTTGCTACAGTCTTCTCTTTTATAACTATATCTTCCTCCATAGCAATACAGGCAACATCCCGCACCAGTTCCGGGGTAGCTCCCAAAGATATTATGAGCTCGAGATCTTGCAGTGTATCTGCTAGCCCACAGATACTCTCGTACATTTCCTTGCTCGTTGTCGTTCTACGGTTCTAGCGCGATCCCTCGGTTCAACTCTACAACGGCCTCGCACCTGCGGCCAGGCCATTTCCCGGGATTTCCACGCGTCATTACTGTTGAATATTGGACCATCCCATGATTGTTGCTTGAAGGCTGAGCAGCTTGTTTGACGATTGTTTGTCAGACGCAGTGTATAAATACCCTACTCTTTGCTAGATTGAACAACAGTGATCCTTCTTTCGCTTCCTCCCCTTTCGCCAGTAGCCGTAACAATTACCATGCCTTGGTGCCTCGTACATCCTCAAGAACCAGACCTCTCGGTCCTGCGCTATAAGTTGCTCTTTCTTTCTAGCTTTCTGGATTCTCATCCTCATTCTTCAAGGTTTCATCAGTCCGGTCTTCTAGACATTTGTTCTTTCTTATCAAGCCTTTCGTCAAAACTTCCCAATATCTTATACCCCTGGTCTCAAAGTGCCATCTCCCTTAGCTTGTGCCTCTTGCTCGCCAATGCCAACGATTTCATTCCCCTTGTTGACCTAACGTTGCATTACAATTATGTGCTTTCCCTTGGTTTTGCACATTTTTGCCAAGACTAGTATCAAATGGCGGTTTGGCCGAGTGGTCTAAGGCGATTGACTAGAAATCAATTCTCTTCGGAGGCGCATGTTCGAATCATGCAGCCGTCGTTACACATATCTTTTTTCTTTTTTGGCCCCAAATGTGGCATGAATTTAGTCTATCGCTTTAAACTGAGGTCGGATTTTGTGCCCTTTGGTACTACGGGCGACTAAGTGTGCCACCCATGACTTAATTATTATTGGTTAATATTGCCAGTAGTAATTTAGTTATCCACCCTCACTTCCAGAGTATACAGTCAAATTTGTACAACTTGCCTACCATTTAATTGATAATTTGCAAGATACATCGTCCTTAAATTAAGTAGTGTTAAATTAGTTTAATTTTTACTTTTCTTTTTCAAAAAACAGATAATAAGTAGTACAAACGTTGTAGAAAAAAGCAGTAAAAAAAACCAGGTAAAAGGCCATAATTTCTTATGTACTTACTCCGTTTCGCTCGAGTACGACGCATCTCCTATTAGCCACATGACCGCTCTCCATAACTAGTGCTTTCTGAACGAATCAAAAAGATTGGGATCAAAAACATACAACAGTGAGGATTCGCTGGTGGTCACCCACCCAACTACTAACTCACCGGCGTGTGGCTTAAGTACGGCTGAGCGGACGGGAAGCCCTGTTTTCCACACCCTATGGTCGTATGTGCTTGGTTTAGTATGAACACAATATATAGACCAAATTCTTAAAAAGAAAAAAGAAGTAGGAATAGGGATGTAGGCAAATAGACATTTAGTACACCCTGTCGACACTCCGGGATCTAGATGCAAAAGAACGATAAATAAATAAAGAAATAGTCAAAATTATAAAGGGACACCTTGAATTAGTCCTAGCACAATAGGAAAGGCCTTATTTTTGCCTAGGTGCCCGGGTGATATATATCTATTAGCCGGTTCTTCATGCCATATCATATGTAAGCCCCAAGGCAAATGAAGAGTATTATTATTCGAGTGGATAGTGGGAGCTAAATTACATATAGGCATAGGCGTTTTAATATGAACTCTTGTACGCCAGCTAGAGGACTAGAATAACTTAATTTGACCCCTGGCCGCTATGCACCTTCGTACGATACATAACATACAACAAATTTCATACCAGCATTATTGCGTACAAAATAAAGATCCCTTACCATTGCATAATTCCACGAAAACCATTAAAATCTCCAAATTGTTTCCAAGACATTTTTCTAGAATGGCTGCAAACACCCATCGCTGTCTGCACTCAGTTTCCACTGTGCCTGACCGAGATTATCTTCTGTAACAGCATCTTTATGCCTCTTATGAGCGAGGATATCCTCCCTCCACAACCAGCCCAACCCGATCGTTGCTCCAGGACCTAGGGCAACAAAAGCAACAGCCTCATAGATTGCGACTCTGACCCAGGAGGTTTGCATCATCCCGGCATACTTGAGGTCCCTGATGAGGTATCCCAGCCAAAGAAATGCGGAAGCAAAAGTGGAAGCGTATCCCGTTTGAAAATTGCACATACAAAAGCAGCAAAGGAAGCCTGTGTAGATGGAACCGCAGTGGGATCCAAGACACAAGCGGCCGAAGACAGCGAGGTCCATCGACCCCATAGCCAAAAGATAGCTGCCTCAATGACCAAGAAACTCATGGAAACTTTGATTACGGGGAGATCTCGCCTTGGAGCATGTATTCGGTCCTCCCTGAGTGTGCTTGGAAAGATGCGGGAGAACATGTGTAGAGTGATTGAGGTCCATTTCGGGTGCATTTTCCAGACAAACAGCCATAAATTTCTCCTTGAGACTGTCAGCCAGAAGAAGGTAGCCAAAAGTGGGATGTAGTAGGAGATAATCATGGCCGGCAAAACGGCAATGGCATAGTTGAGATGCATGAGGCGCATGTCGGCTCCCTTGAACACCTCGATGGGGCTGTTGATGTAGTGCAAAATGTAATACAAACTGCTGACGCGGCCCAGTCCTGCCAATTCACTGCCAAGGGTGAAGAGTATTGGTCTATAATATTAGCTTCATATGGAAGAGGTGTTTAAGGGAGGAGGGACATACATTTGAGCCATGGTCAATGAGTTTGCTCGTCGAATTGATTCAAATAACCATATTCTCATGAAAATTCCCACATCAATTGAAGATGAGATTTCCTGGCTTAGAGACTCATATTTCATTTCAAAGAAGGCAGGTAAGTAGCTAATATATTGGAGGGACCAGCTGCAAGAGGAATCATTGGTAAATGCACAGTTCACCATAGCTATTTTGGGGCAGCTCACAGGTCATCAATCCCTTTCATACTGTAGAACCTTCGAAGCAGAGCCACTGAGCCTATGGCTGGGGCCATATCTTCAGGTTCCCAAATATGGCCAGGCAAGGCAGACGCGTATTTGGCGTTCGAAGCAATTTTTGCCACAAAGAGAAGAACCAGGAAAGGCAACCCCAGTAGAGCTCTTTTGAGCTTACTTTCCCGTTTTCCCTGGCCCTGAGTAGGAATGAAGGGTAGGGTCCCTCGCAATCAGACCCTGGGTGGAGCTAGGTTTTCAAGCATAGTTGCACCTACCGAGACCTCCGATGCCATATCTGCAACGAAACTGCCCATAATGGGCATGCCGAGTCGAACGAAGAGAAACTCGAACCATCCCTTCAAAGCGTGTAACCGGGTAACCATAGATGAGGCATCCACGATGGCTGTGACTCGGGCTATGCGAGTCTCCTGATATTGGGCAAAGCAATACTTGACCGGCTCTGGTGGATCTCATCGGCCGAGATAGGAGAGATTTAGAAACTTTTGCAAGAGTTATCGCCCCCTCTTCGTCTATGGTTGAGAGCCAACTTCTCCAACGGGCCGTGGCATGGGTGGAGGCATTGCCGACTGTTGAGGTGCTGGTATAGGTAGAAAAGCCTAGGAGATAGCCGTATCGAGCATCACCTTGCTCTTTTAGCTCACCCAGATATTCTCTAGGAATCCTTTCACCATATAAGAGCTTTGATTTCTATACTACCATTCCTAGCTGCCCGAGAGAGTCTTAAACGGATTCTCACTTCTTAAATAAATATACTAACCTAAGAGCAAAGTTTGATTTCATCATTCTTAGCTACGCTCGGTACGGTTTTAACATAGGCTCCGGTTAAAGAGTTTATTACTAGAGCAAACATATTTCTAGCTACTCTACATAGTGCGATTAGCTAGGAACATAGGAAGCAAGGCGTTTAACTCATATCTTATAATACCTCTACTATATTTATATATAGAGAGTTAGAAAAAGATCATCTAGTAGAGAATTCCGACCTATCCTCCTAGCATATATTCCGGGCGAGTTATCTCACATTTCACACATTGATCGTCATGCTTAACCAAGTGGGCGATCCAAACATATACGCGAGTGTGCATATCTCTTTAGCATTCGGGTGGTACCTTACGCTTAACCCAGCTGCTATACAAAAACTAGAATTGCTAGTTCTATGGTCATTGCTTACAGACTATCTGAATACATTATTCAGCCCCGACACGATAATTTCGAAGATAAAAGACGAAGACTTCCCGCTTCTTAGCGACTTATCTACGCCTCAGCTAGATAAGGGTTTTCTGATCCGAGGCCAGGCATAGAGCCAGCTTTACTACCCGGAAAGGTTCTTCAAGGGTAAGTAGTACAAAAGCTATAGAAAAAACTAGTCAAAAAAACCCAGGGAAAAAGCCCGTTTCGCTCGACGTGCGGGTAGCGACGATTACTCGCTCGGCATTAATAATATCTCCTACCCCGTCGAAAAAGCAAAGTAAAAAATAATAACAAACTGGTTTAACACTAGTAGATTTAAAGACGGAGCATATACTGATAAATTAATGGATAATATACTTATAAACTATCAATTTAATCATATAACTAGCATATATCTGTAAATTATCATCTTAATCATGTAGCCTATACTTGCAAATTATCAATTAAATGGTAGACAAGTTGATACAATTTTGACTGTATACTCTGGAACCTTGGAAGTGAGAGTGGATACTAAATTACTACTGGCCAAATTACCCAATAATAATTAAGTCACGGGTGGTACACTTAGTCGCCCGTACCCGATTTAGCACAAATTCAGCGAAAATTCAGCAAAAAGGATATGCTAACCGACGGCTGCATGATTCGAACATGCGCCTCCGAAGAGAATTGATTTCTAGTCAATCGCCTTAGACCACTCGGCCAAACCGCCATTATGACAAATCTGGCCAAAATGTGTATTAGGAGGTGGGGATAAAATATACTATTTTGTATTTAGAATTCGCTTCTAAATTTAGCTATAGGAATCTAGAAAATGAATGTAGAAACATATTCTAGCCCGTATCTTCAACCCAAGTGTTGTAGCTTTATTGCATTTTCTATGATATTTGCAATCTGCTTCATTGCTGTTAGACTTCCGCACCGGCCCACAAAGCCCAAAGCCCAACCCAACCCAACCCGTAAATGGGTTGGGCTATGGGCCTATGGTAAAAGCCCATGGGGCTTTAATGGGGGCCTATTGGGCCCCAAACAATATAAATATGCCAATGCTTGGCAGATGCATAAATAATACAGATTTTCCTAGTATTTCTGAGTATTTAACTTACCGTCTAAGCCTAAAACTGACCTAGTTCTTTCTTATAGGAATTGACTAAATTGACCGAGTGATAAGATTGATAAGATCGATTAATTAGATAGATGTATCAAGTGAGGTTAAACTATCTATATGCTAATAACGAATATACGTATCATCGGGCAAGATCCCTAGTACTTCAATAGAAAGATGCACCTACTTTACAAGATATCTATATCTATATGTTGATACTCTGTTAAAGTTAAAACCCCGAATTAGGCATCGGGCCGAGATGTTCTATAATAAGCTTACAGACCAGAATATGCGTAAAAAACAGGCATTAACTAGCAGGTTTATGAGCGCTAAGGCCGTACTTATGCATATAAATAGGCTTTGTTGGGGGCCTTATGGGCTCCTATTGTTGGGCTATGGGTTGGGCTTTGGGCCCGAGGTCCAGGCCCATTTGTGGGCTTTGGGGAAGTCTAATTGCTGTGAATATCTATGGTTTGTAGGTGTCCGCTAAATCGAATGCGATATACATATATTTAAGAAGATATAAAAAAAGTGTTGGTGTTGACACTTTGTAGGTGATGTTTTTTTTGGGGTGAGTGGTATGCCAAATGCAAGAAAACGACGTCGGGGATAGTATGGGAGTAGGGTAGGACTTTATTTGTTTATTGATGGTCATAGTGGCCGTATCAGTGCTTGTATTGTTTTCTTATGACGGATTTCATTTGTTCAATACGAGTTATATATCGTGCCTCCTCCGCCCCCCGCAAGGCGCCCCAAGTCATCTCGAACAGAACCCAAGCAAGCAACATCAACGGCAAGCAGATTATAGCTAAAAACTTGAAACCGTAAAAGATAAAGCAAAGAAAAAGCTGGAGGACTGCCTTCTTTGAATGGCATCTTAGTGTATCATTATCAAACATCCCCAAATATCAAGTATCTAGATGAATACAGAACGCAGAGTACGGTATTCCTATAGAGAAAAATACTCAATACCTGGTCCTTCATTCGGAATCCAATAGCCAGTTCATCATATTGAGTATAGATCTTCTTACATATACGTGCCTAATATTATGAAATTATATCCCGAAGCGGCACCTGAGAGAAAGGACTTAGCCCTAACTAAACTAGGATAGCCGGACCCTATCGATGATGTAATATATATACCTCGCTCTATTATGAGAAACTAGGCCGTGCGATAGGAGCTTGTACTGACAACTATCCATGGATGCCCCGCCACGATATACCTAGAAATATATAGAAGTATACTAACCCAATCACTAATATGACCTCCAGACCAACCGGCGTTAAGTCTTACAAATATCAGGAATAAACTCTAACGAAAACTTATCAAGCCCTTTTTATGTGCGCTTAAACAAGACCAAGAACACAAAATACGCCCGAAAACATAGCACAGCCCGAAACATAGCACAGTCCCTAAGGGGCCGTGAATACTACCAGGCCTTAATCTGATGCTATATAGCTTCCCGAGGGTAGAAGAGAGAACGACCACAGAATCAAGACAAAGCAAACAGTATAGGCAATGCAGACAGGGATGTGTCTATCATAAACTCAACACTGCCCAGGTGACAAGCAATATCATGACTAGTTAGTTAAAACCTGATAAAAATATCTTTGCTTATTTTTATCATGCACATTTTTGCCTATACTGATATCAAATCAATCATGCATTCTTCCTTAAGTGGTGCTCATTTTAGACAGCTCTTTCCGTCTCAAAATTGCTCCCTTTTTAGCGTCATTTTGTCTATATTCTTCAACAATTACCGGGCGGTTTGGCCGAGTGGTCTAAGGCGATTGACTAGAAATCAATTCTCTTCGGAGGCGCATGTTCGAATCATGCAGCCGTCGGTTAGCATATCCTTTTTGCTGAATTTTCGCTGAATTTTTGCTAAATCGGGCTAGAACCAGGAGTGGGTATTCGCTACGAAGTGGAAACTCCAACGCATGCACGCCACCAATTTAAAATATACCACGGAGTATGTAGTATTCTCTCAAATGTATACATTCTATTAAATGCAGAAAAAGGTGAGAGGTATATAGTAAAGATCAATTAATATAGATTATTAATTACTAGCAGAAAAAGCTAAGTGGCGTGCATGTAGTATGTGCATTGCATTAGGGATGTTAAGAACCATGGATCCACTGTTGCGTAGGTAGTCAATGCTACTCCTAGAAGCCAGCAAGTGCAACTACCGGAACATGATAGAGTATGTAGTAATAATATAGAAAACTCTACTACGGAGTACTCTAACTTCTATGTTATACGATGCCTTCTCTATAGGATCCACTATAGTAAAGGGTAGCGAGCTTGCACATATAAAAGTCTGTTTCTTCTATATTATAGACTTTGAGCCTTTTACGCATTTCAATTGTACACATACATTATTGAATTATTCATTCTTTATCTCTGTCTACATGCAGTATTCATTCGCCTTGTAATACTTCGACAAGGGGACCTTCTCGCCCGGGCTGTCGTGGTAGGGCAAGTCCCTAAACGCCTGCTTTGGAGTATCCTTGTTTATTCCCATATCATTATAAGGTTATTACTACTACCCAAATAACGAAAGTATAATGTAATGTCAGGTTAGCTGGCCCCGTGGAGAGGATTGGTGGATGATCTTTGACTTGTTTCCTGTCTATTATGAATATTATTGATTCTTCGTCTGTTTTCTGTACATAATTATTAGCGTATGCAATGTCTTTCACCAACATTCGTTTCTGTCTATAGTCCCTAGGAATACGTTTAACCGTAAAATGTGATACATCTCTATTTAAGACATCTATGGCTTATAGCTTTCTAGTGAGCATCATTCATGGTTATCTGCGCTAGTCTCTATAGAATAACTAATCCTCTAGCTGACCTATAAGAGTCCGTATTAAAACGCCTATGTCTATGTGTAATTTAGCTCCCACTATCCACTCGAATAATAATACTCTTCATTTGCCTTGGGGCTTACATATGATATGGCATGAAGAACCGGCTAATAGATATATATCACCCGGGCACCTAGGCAAAAATAAGGCCTTTCCTATTGTGCTAGGACTAATTCAAGGTGTCCCTTTATAATTTTGACTATTTCTTTATTTATTTATCGTTCTTTTGCATCTAGATCCCGGAGTGTCGACAGGGTGTACTAAATGTCTATTTGCCTACATCCCTATTCCTACTTCTTTTTTCTTTTTAAGAATTTGGTCTATATATTGTGTTCATACTAAACCAAGCACATACGACCATAGGGTGTGGAAAACAGGGCTTCCCGTCCGCTCAGCCGTACTTAAGCCACACGCCGGTGAGTTAGTAGTTGGGTGGGTGACCACCAGCGAATCCTCACTGTTGTATGTTTTTGTCTTTTTTGATTTGTCGGGAGAAAATCCTATTGCTGCTCTATCGCTGATTCCTTCAGCCCCTTCATTTACTTGAATACCACTATTTTATACCTGAATATCCTGCGAGCCCTTAAAACCGCTGAAGTGTCTTGTCCCTCTTATACTGCCCCTTTGCCTCACAGTCTTGATCGCAACTCCTAGGTACTAGTTTCTACTGGTGGACACATGTACCCTAGGATTCAAATGATACTAGGAAGAGGGCGATGAAAAAAAGGGCCGCCTAGGAGAATCAAACTTGTTATTGAAAAATTCGCTGCTGGCCACCCACCCAACTACTAACTTAGCGGCTGTAACTCGTTATGTATCGTGCTCACCTATGTTAGTGGGTTGGATAACAAATCTGAGTATTTGTCTAGTAGGTGCTAGGGTCCTAGGGGAGCTATAAAAAGAGAGTGCGCAGAGCCAGTGCACAATAACTAGACGGGTCGAGACTTGACATCATTAACAAAGCCTTAACAAATTAGACACACATATCTACTCACGACATCTAAATTAGCACCCTACCTCTTAGCCGATAGATAATAATCACATATCGCTATGGGATTTGGTTATGTCCCGAGAGACGTATTAAGGGACCTCTCCAGAGAGGGATACCTCAAGAGGTAGGGTAGTGAGTATAGAGAGACGTCATGTGAAACCTCCGGATTAGACCTAGTATATATATTCTGCCGGCTAGGCTATTCTGCCACTTCTCAGCGATTACTTTTTCACCGTATGGACAAGCTATGGATTTGAGACCCATTAGGGACGTCTAGTCACGTGACACCCACGGCCTTATGATTTAATTGCTCCGTTTTGCTCCGCAGTAATTTTGTATACCTACGGTTGGGGTTCTTCTAAAATGACAATTGCCTTTCCACTCCTCAGACATCCCCGTGCCATGATTTCAGTGATCCCATCTCTCTGCGTGACTGACAAAAATGGCTGGTCTATCGCGTTGAATGTATCTCCGCTGAGTGGATCTTCTTTGACCACGTGGGAAATGAGGCAACCGATAACACAAAATTTGACCAGATGCCTTTCTCCACAAGGAACTGAAATTTTGCTTCCGTCGGGTCTTTGAGCTTCCATGTATTCGGGGTCAAATATGTCACCAGGGCTAGGCTGCATGAGGTTGTAGCGAGTTCCTCTAGGGGGTACACAGCGGGCACGAAAGTGAAACGCATTTGTAAAAGCTCGCCTTAGTGCATTCCGAATATCCCTGTCAAAGTCTTCTAACTTTGGGGCTTCAAGCAACGGGCTCAGAAGTGCCAAAAGCTCACATTGAACCTCTTCAACGTGCGACTGAACCCAACAATCTCGGAACGGATGGTTCTCCTCCAGCATAAGCTCGACAGCTGCCCTATGAAACCCTTCGAGAGTGCCCGCGGGAGCTTTTTTATGAGTCATTAGTGCCTCCGGTCGGATAAACAATTAACCAGTTAACTGCAGTACCTTGTACTTACTAACACGTTGAATTGCTGCCTTATATCCCCTTAACATATGACCCTCTACTTGTAAAGTAGTCCAACTGCTTGAGTAAAAGACTCGCTCTCGTATGAAGCCGAATACCAGGGCAGAAAATGCAAACTTGGAGTCAGAAAGTAGAACACCTATCTTCCCAAGACTTGACTTGATCAGCTCATGTAACTCTGGAGCTTTGCGAGGCTTTTTCCCTAGTTTTAAGAGCTGCTGGTCAGAGAGACATTGAAAAAGCAGTAAAGCTGCTTGGCTTATTGCAGTCTCAAGCCGAGTCAAATCCTTTGAGAACATCATTGACACTTGATTGCCAGGTTGAGAGTCTCTCAGTACAGCACTCAACCCTTCTGCGGTGTTTAGTTGCTCTTCAAGCGATGAATTCTGTCGGATCTTCTCCTCGATCTCGATATTTCTCCTTTCAAGTTCTGCATTCAGCTCCTCTATTTCATCTGGAGCAAATGACCCGCTTTCCTTCGCATCGTACTGCGTTTTGTACCAATGAAGGTTGCGAGATAGCTCGAAATTCTCCTCTTGTAGATATCTGATCTCTTGTTCTAAAGTTGACGTCTTCGTGATATGATGTATGCCAAGGAGATCGATTTCTCTTTTTAGACGCTGGATTTGCTTCATGTTGTCTCCGTCTTCCTCTGGAGCAGTTTTATCTCTGGCACTGATAAGTACCAGAGGCGAGCCTTTACCATTTTTTGCCAATGTCGCATTTTCGCTCATCTTATTTCTCGCTCGCGGGCTTTCATGGAGGGAAGAAGAGGTGGCCCGAGACTAAAGCCAACCATTGTTAGTAAGTTCGCAGTATGTAAAGGCCAATGATTTCCATACTCTGGATCTCAAATTCGATACTGTCTGACATTTAGAGATTGGGTTGTCAGGGTATGACCCAACTAGTCGCATTCGTTTCCGAGCATCTGTCTCTGCCTCCCCCGAATAAAGTTCTGGCTCTGGAAAAATTCTTGATTTGTTTCGATTGCGCTTTTGGTTTACTGGGAAAGATTCCAGTTGATCTGGGTTTGGAGATATGGGTTCCCAACACCACCACCTTTCTGACCTTCTATGACCAGAATAAGGAGGTTTTTCGGAGTTGACTTTGGTTGAAAACTTGTTGGGTGATGTCAAATTGCTCATCGTGGATGGATGATAGCTATTCCATGCGGAGGGAAAACTATGTAGCAGATAGTGGGTAGTCAAATTTGGGTGATAATTTGTTTTTGCATCAGAAAAAAAGGGGAAGGGTGGAAAATCGGGGGCCAACACTAGGCAGACTCGATTTGCCAAACTAGTTAGTAGCAAAATGATCCTTGCTAGTATAGAAATTCCACGTGAGAGCGTTTAAAAATGATGTTTCAACTTGTGCGCCCCGTGGCTCGCTGCTAAATTTCTTCTCAACTCGTCCCCAAACCCCTCCAAGAGGCTCTCAAAATGCAAGAAAAGTCTAGGTTGTCGAGGACCTTGGCGCATAGAAAACGAGCCTTCCAGGAGGTTTCGGACGCAAATGAAGCCCCGAACACTCCGTCTGTGTCGGACAGCGACTCGATCAATGTTCGACTTGCAACACCAACAAAAAAGCCGAACCGGAGGAAGAATGGACATGATAATATGGCATTCATTGTGGGTCTGGACTTCGGAACAACCATGACATCAGTGTCATACTGCCGTTTCAACGCAGACAAGCGCCCGGCAAAGGTTCCTCGGGACAAAATAAAGGACATCACTGATTGGCCGTCTGCTGGTCGCGACCAGCAGAGAGGAGAGGTTCCGAGTGAGAGCTTGTACCTTGACGATCAATATTACTGGGGGTATCAAGCCCGCCAGAAACTGGAGCAGTTCCATTACAGCGGAGGAGCATCAGATACGACCAACAAGCTGATAAGATTCACGAAGCTTTTGCTTCCCGAATCTGACTTGATGGAGGAAGAAAATGAAAGCTGGCAACTTCGAGAAGTGAGGGAAACATTGAGGTATTTGGATAAAACGGTCCCCGATGCTGTACAAGATTACTTGATTGGCGTTTTTCGGTTTGCAAAGGACTATCTTAAGGACCAGGAGAACTTCACTGAATCGAATGAGGTTGAGATTTCTCTGTCTGTCCCTGCAGGATGGCCTATCGAGGCTTCGTGGTCATTGCAACATATCGTTCGTGAGGTTACCACAGAAGTCAAATTTGGTCAAGTATCGAGTTTGTTTATAATAAACGAACCTGAGGCCGCATCTGCATTTGCCTTGGACATTGTTGGAGGTACAAATATATCGGTCAGTGAACTATGAATACCAATCAAGTGTGGAAAAGGCTAAATCGTTCGACTATACAGAGGGGGGAACATTCATGGTCTGCGATGCCGGGGGTGGCACAGTAGTAAGCTTATAGGAGAGGAGCACTGCGAGGTGTAACACGCTGACGAGACGAAAAGGATGTGACGACCTACACAGTAGAACATAAAAGTCCATTCCGGCTGAAAGAAGCAGTCACACCATGCGGTAAGTTCCATGTGCTCGGGTCAGCATCTTATCTAATATTCCACACAGGTAACAATAATGGTTCAACGTGTGTCAATCGGGAGATGGAAACCGACCTGCTGGAGCTGCTGAGAGAAGAGCCATGCTTTTCTCAGAACAAAACATCAATTGAGCATCAGCTTTCTCATAATTTGTTTCGCAAATTTGAGAATGAGCTGAAGCGTAATTTCGATTCTGGGGAGGGTTTGGCGGGATCCGCCTACTTGGACTTGCATGGATTGGAAGAAAATACTTCTAAAGGGTTTGGAAAGGGAATGATCACTGTTACGAGGTTTGAGACATCCAGTGTTTTCTTGATCCGCGGGGAAGATTAGTCACTAAATATTACTCTTTTTCCTTTAGGGAGCGGGTCATGGGATGGTTCCAACCAAGCCTCGAAGGTATCGCCAGACTCATCCAGAGGCAGCTTGATGCCTGCAATGAAATTCATGTGAGGGTACAGGTAAGGGTCTATTACTCGAAAAATGCCGCATCTCAGTTACCATGTCTAAGTTTTTCAAAACAGAAGATTATTCTCTTCGGTGGTTACTCTCAGTCGAAGACTCTTCAGCATTTCTTGAAACAAAAATTTTCACATCCCAAGATAGTATGCCCGAAGGTTGGGTACGATCCTGCATATTCATTTCACTCTAGCCCATGACTGAACGTCTTATTATAGTGCTTTTGAAACGACTGTGTCGCGAGGGACAGTACACCGTGCTGTCGATAAGAGCAAGGGGCCATTGCGCATAACGATTGCAAGTATCGGCATACTTCAAAGCGAGCCATTTAATCCCAAGAAGTTCCCATCCCATCGACAGGTTGATCACGGCAGACATCTTAACAAGAAATATTATATCTACGGGACTGCACAGTGGATTATTAAAAAGGTGGGTTATTCATGTTCCGCTATGAGACTCAATGCTCACTGCTTGCAGAGGCAACTGGCGGACTGGAATGAGTCGGTCCGAGAGCTTAACCACCGAGTCATTCCAGTAGGTGAACCTTGGGTGATCAAGCAGGCCATCTATTACAATGCATTGATCGATGATCCCCAAGAACACTACCCGGTGGACCACCCAAACAATGCAGGTGAGTGAAGGATTATAATAATCTTTTTGTGATTGAATCTATGTTCTGTGCTCTAACTAGCCCATACAATAAATAGGTTCCCGGTGGGCAGGCACGGTTAACTTTGACATTACCAAAGCGAAAGAACAATACCCATTAAAGGTAAAGGGTACGGGGCGTGGATATTATGAGATTCATTATGAACTTTTGGTGGAACTTCAGGGTCGAAATCTGAAGGTTTCTGTGGTTTACCCTCCCGGAGGGGAGGTTCAGGGCTGCAAGGAAATTTCTGTTGCGGCCTGCTTTGCTCCGGGTACGGAGTGATGGCTGAGTATGTCATTCTACGGGCATCGCTACTCTGGGGAACATTTGGGATGTTTTAGGTACCAGATTGATTACTGTTTGCTTTTTCTTGGCCAGTTTTTACTAGGAGTTACTGGCACATCATTCAAGTGTACTTCGAAACCAATACTCTTACTCCAACTCTGCTGATAGCCTCCGAGTGGAGTAAAATACAAATTTGCCAAATTTGCTATTTTAACAGATAATCATGGGAACGAAGGAGTTATCTCCTGGTTGAAGATCTTCTTGCTCTATGTTGAGCTGCATTCCCAATCTCTGCCTCCATTTGATGAAAGGTTGTGCTTCTGCCTTGGAGCTCCACTCTCCTTTGAGCTTAATCGGAGTGTTCAAGTATTGAAAGTGCTTTTCATCCCACGTATCCACATAAACTTGCATGGTTTTAAAGTATGAACCATGACTCCACATTATGCCTGGAAGTTCAACAATCTCACCATGATCTGGGGACCTGTCAAATACATAAAGACCACGACTTGGAAAGTTTTCCCTGTCAGAAATTCCGTCGATCAAAACACATTTCCATTGTTCCTCACGAACAAGAGGCGGTAGTTTAGGCCACATCTGAATCTCATCGCCTCTGTACACGATGGTTTGCTTACTTCGAAGGCGCGAAAAGGCAATATAAGGGTCACGCGGCTCTCTTTGTCCAACTTTATGAGACTGGTAGATGGATGGTACCAATTTGAGCAGACAAGGGGACTTATCGAACCGGAATCCAACACGTAGATTATGAGACCTTGTAACTACCAACTGGTCGGGTATTAGCCCATCTCTTTTATAAGAGCAACTGGACATGCATAGCATAGAAACCGCGGCTGTCAAGTTGTCCATTATCGATTGGTTCAGCATCCGACCAAGCAGGACCTCGATTGCAGATATAGAAACGATTGGCTGTTGATGCAGGTCAAGATTCTCGGGAGCTTCCATTCTTAAAAGAATCTTCTGCAAAGCTCCTTCCGAAATGCAAAGACATGTTAGTTGGCGAGTGGGCTCCCACATATGAGACACAAACATGTGAATCGTAATTTTCAAATAGAAAGCATCGCCGTGTTGATATTGCTCACGAGGAAGCCGAACTTCTGTCGTCCAAATATTTTCCAAGGTACTCAATGTCTCCGCATCGACTCTCCAAAAACTAGATAGACATTTTAACATGTCTTGAAGCCATGATTGAGCGTGTTCGGTTGATGCAAACGAGAGCAAAAAATCGTCAACGTCGCATTCCATGAGCTGAAGTGCGAGGTAGCGTGATTCAAGGATGGACGCGTCCCGAATAGTGCCTTCTGGACAAATAATGTTTAAATAGTCCAGATCGTTGTGCAGATAAGTGAGTGAAGGTTGAATTGTTGCTCTTGGTGTAGCTTGTGATTGATTCAACCAATTAGATATGCTTCGGGTATGGGAGATTGTCGAAAACACGTTCGTATCCGCCGTTGGAATATCGCCCATGGATATGGTATTCAGTTCACCTAGGATTGCGGGTCGATAAACATCGCGAGCCCAATCAAATATGTAATCCATTATCAGGAGAAGTTGCAAAGCACCATTTTTGCTGCGAATATTTCCACTCCATAGATCAAATACTGTCTTGAAGGTCTCAGTTCAACGTGAATCTTCTTCCTGTAAGAGGTGAAACTTCACTCACATATTCGATCTGGGGTTGTTTTACAACCGCCGCGGAAATTTCCCAAATTTCACCTCGCCACGCCAAGAACCAGACAAGCGGCCCTGATTCCCACTGCGTTTCTTCTCCAGTCGCCAACTTGAGGTCGAGCTGCACATTTAGAAGCCGCCTAATAACAAATGCTGTCTGCATGTTGACCTCCCCTCGATCTGCCCCTTTGCTTGACTTTGCTTCCATGACAAGAAATGGATAAAGCAGAGGCTCCCCCTCAGGCTCAAATGGACTGACTTCCAAGGTTTCACGTAGCGATGGACAAAGTGTAGCTGCAACACCGCGCTTATCATCCGAGTCCAAAACGAGCTTGAAGTTATCTGTTTGTTTCAATCCATAGACTCTGTCTGGCGCTTCAGATTGTTTCCGCCTTTCATTTTGGGAGAGCACAGGCAAAGGTGGGTCATGTCTAATTTTTTGCTCCGCCCGGTCAGAGAAGAGCATATTGATACCACTGTCATACCTAGCGTTCGGTAAGTACCTATTCGGTAACTGGGATGGAAATGCTTATACATACTGGCTTTGCCCCCAGGTAGGTGGGCAGCGACATGGCTTACGTTTCCGGCGTCGGGCTTCAAGCAACTCTGCCGACACATGAATGCTGTCCGTTGCGGCGGGTATCTCAGACTCCCACAACTTATTACGACATTTCGGACTGAATGTTACTAATTAGAAAAGGTAATTTGAATCAACCTTCTCCTTTGAATCTCACCAAGCAACCTCTACCGAGAATCGGTGCATTATCTCGTTCTCGACGGCGAACCTCCAGCTGCTTTCATTCCTTCGTTCTTTCCATGCGTTTTCTGCCAGTTGAGACAGGCGATCAGCGCGGCTTCGCGTTGAATTTCTCCATGGCTTTTCAATGGAGTCAATTGAGATACTCTCGACGAAATGACTGTATTCTCGACGGCCAAGCTTTTGTACATCTGCAAATAGCCTCCCGTGGGTTTTTGGCCAATGATCAGGCTCCACCGGACCAATAAACCGTATTCCCAACCGATCTGCCCACCTCAAGCGAAGGTTATATTCAGCAGATTTCATTGTCAAATAGCAATGGAGGACACTTGCTCTTAGAGAGGTGTTGGAGAGGAACAATTTACCCCGCACTAGAACAACTCTCTACATGCGGTCGGAAAGGGACTAGGCGATACATGAAGGGCCATGGCCCGGATATCCTTCCTCAGGTACGATACTAAATCAAGGGAGAGGGTGGAAGAGGAACATGAGGCGATTAGAGGGTGTACCTTGGAAGATGTAGGATGGATGCAGGTTCCGTTTGATGGTGTAATGGGTATTCCTAGGTATTTCTTGCGTGATTATGCTTGGGAGACAGAGTATCGTCGTCCGCCCACGATCTCTTGTTTCTAGTTTTCTTTGGTCTAGACAATTGATCTCGATAGACCGTTTCCATTGGGGACATGGCTAAATCCATGGACTTGGTCTCTTTACTCGCTTCTCTTTACTCGCTGATCCCGAAGGCTATTTTCGTGGATTTCACATCAGATTCTACTAACCATTTGATTTGCGCATTATGACCTGATCTAGATTCATTCTATGTCAAAAGCTCTATGGGTAGTTCTCTTGTTTCTCTAGTTATTCCGAAATTATCGCTTCCATTACTTTGATCTTAACAAAATTCGTTTTATTGCAGAGACAAGGACTAAAGGAGGTTTAGGATTCATGAGATCCAGGAAGAAAGCTGCTAGGTCTATTCGTATCTATGGCTATATAGCTGATGAACCTGATATCATTGTTATTTCCTCTCTTATGTAATTCGATCTTGAAGATCATTATCCTTCAATGCTTTACTTCAATGTTAACACATCTGGAACCCAAGGCAGGATGTGATACTCATTACTAGCGCTAGCATTATGCCCCTGGTAGAGGAGCTGTAGGTTGCATCAATCAAGAGTCATTGTTTGCTCAGAGTTCGTGCGACCCAGATTCTTATAGCTAATATCCTTGGTCAAAGTGGCGCCACTATTAGCCTTTCCAGCGAAAGGGTTGCTCTTGGTTCCTGCCTGCACTTTCTATCAACCACCTAGATTGTCAGAAACAAATTGAAATAAGGACCATTCGATGTGATAGTTTCGACAAGCATCAAGTCTTTGTTTTGGCCCTAAAGACTGCATACCTAGACGGCCTCGAACAAGTTGCTGGTGGTGTCGATGCGGATCACAGATTATACACAGAAGTCGCCTGAGGAATTACTAATAGGCATGCTAGCTAAAGCGTTCTCTCATCTATCGGTGTTAGTGGGTCACTTAATGTTCTGTATAAAAAGGCGGTTGAGCCCTATTATTTAGCTAACATCTAACTGTTTTTTGCCTTGAAGTGTAAAAGTGTAGGTGTAGCAGTTCCGTGTTATTTTATTCTGACTCGTTGATGCCATTTTAGATCAGCCCGAAAAACGACGGAAGAGTGTGTCGCCCACTTGTGCGTGCAGCTCGCAAGTAAATTACATTTACAATACCAAAAATATGTGTCGTGGCCCTGGAGATATTGCAGGGCATTTACCATAGCAATGAAGCGCATTCATCATGGCAACATGCCGAGTAAGAATTACTAGTATTTGGATTTATAAACTCAGTCGCTTCCCGGCTTTTCCACTACTCACCTTTTTCTATTTTTCCTCAATATATCGTGCTTGTAGCAAGTTGAGATGATCGCTCATATATACTTCTCCTTAGTCGGCAAATTTCAAAATGAGCCACCAAGAAGACTCACTAGGTACACATGCACCTATACGTACCGGATATTCCCTGGCGGGTGGGGCTTTCCTATTTGAGCTGCCGCCGCTTTTATGAGGGTGCTCAGGCTCAGGCTCACTGAGTAGATGTCAGCACGGGCTCAGATCAGTGATCATACTCAGGTCAGTCACGTGCAGGATGACAGATGCTCCGTGAGTGCTCATTGGATGCTCTCTGATTACTCAGTGATGCTCAGTGTCCAATCAGTGAGCAACACTGATGCACTCAGCCCACCTCAGACTATACCCAGAAGGGATTAGCCCCAACAGGGTCGTTTATACTGTGATAGTTAGTTCGTTGATAGCATTGCTGCTGCCCTCATTTTCCGGAGCACTACACCTCATCAAGAAAATACATTATGACGAAGGGGCGCAGGAAAGAGCGGAGAACTCCATCCGTTTCATGATGTCTTCCTTCCGTCTTCTAATTCAGAGCGGCTCGAGCTCAAAGTCCCAAATATAAAGGCTGACCGTGTGCCAGCATTAGCATGTCATTGTCAGGCCTTTTTATATTCTGAAGCAGCTGGGCATTGGAATATATGAAAGCATTAATTGTCCTTTGTCTTGGTGGGTGAACTGTCCTTGGAGCCAAATCTCACACGATATCAGGAGAACCAAATAGAGTCCTGCTATATCCACAGTACTTCATGGCCATCATAAATAACACAAAGCTACTCAAAATGAGGCGCGAAGCCTGGCTTATGCTGTCCATGAAAAAGCCAGATTAGATCTATCTCAACATTTTATCTTGCTCAAAGTCATCTTTGACCTGTTTCGCAAACAAATCATCAATAATAACTTTCAGTCCTGCAGCTGCCATTCCCTTTGCAACGCCCATAGCCAGATCATGAGCTGCAGTGGTTTCGGCTGCATCTTTGAAGCTTTCGGTGTGTAGCGCGGCACCAGACTCAACAGGAATGCTGAAATTGCCGTGGAAAGATGGAACCTCGTAGCTCACATTACCTAGACAATTTGTGGTCAGTGACAAAGTGCAACCTCAACACTAGAAAGTCAGAAACCGGTGTAATCATACCCATGTCTGTGCTAAACGCACTGAGGTATCTGCGCTGTAGATCGCAGACGAAATCTTGACCAAGTCCTTTCATATAGCGAGAAAACTCTGTACACAACGCCTCATTGGGTCGGATTTCCTTATAGGTCTCCATTCTAGAATATGTTAGATTGCAATAATAAACAATAGAGATCAAAACGTACACCCTTTTTAGGTCCAGGGTGCATCCAGTGGCAGTAGCTGCTCCTTTGAAACAGTTCTCAACCCTGACTCTCAATGCTTCCATGTCGCTTACTTTTTCAGAGCGCACATTGTAACCCACTCGACTTTTATCTGGGATGATATTTTGGGCTATGCCACCTTCTGGCATGATGATATTGATGCGGTCGCTAGGCTTGATGTGTTGCCTAAGCATTCCAACTGCAGCATATGAGAGCGTCGCCGCATCAAGAGCATTGATCCCATCCCACGGCATTGCTGCTGCATGCGCGGCCTTTCCTGAAAAGGTGGCCTCAAATGCGCAGGTAGAAAGACAGGTCCCGTATGATATTCCTGCCACCTCGGTTAAGAACTGGTTAACCGGTGGTGTAGGATGCATCATCAAGGCGGCGTCAACCTCTGCAAAAGCGCCGGCGCGGATCAGATCGATCTTACCTCCCCCACCTTCTTCGGCAGGACAGCCAACGAGTCGGACCCTGCCAGCTAAGGGGAACTTTTGGAGAACTGCAACAATGCCGAGAAAAGCTGCAATCGACGAAACCGCAATCAGATTGTGTCCACACCCGTGTCCGATATCAGGTAGGGCGTCATATTCTGCACAGAAAGTGACAACACGACCTCCTTTACCATACTCTGCTAAAAAGGAAGTTTGCAGCCCAAAGGCATGACGAGTGACCGCAGCGCCGTTGTTCTCAAGAAAAGTTGCAATGTTTTCATGTGCTTGGAATTCGGCATAACTAGTCTCCGGATTACCGTGGATCTAGTGTTCTTTAATTAACTGAAAAATGCCAATCAAACTTGTTGGGACGGTTTTCTACCTCGAGATTGAGATGCCTGAGGCTTTTACTGTGATTATTGATCGAGTCAAAGATCAGCTGAGCGTTCTTGGCGGCATTTGTTTGCAATTGCTCGCCGCTGGCGTAAATCTTCATTGACGTAGAAGTCATAGTTATCCTGTCTTTGAAACTTCTCTGTTCACGGATGAAAGTCATCATTTAAGTTCTGCTGTAAGTATTTGTATATCATGAATACTAGTGTCTAGGGCCGTGCACTATGATGATAGCGCTTTCGTCGCGCCGGCACTTTCCGATGTCCACCCGGAGCTTTGTCCACCCTTTACTCCGAGTAGCGCCTGGAGGCAGTAGGAGAGTCAGGCGGGGAACCATGAGTCTATAAATCCATAAATCCGCGGATTTATTGCGGGGAGATGGATACGTAATACCCGGACGCGGGGCGCTTGAGCCGCCCAATCGTCTTCACATCCATCCGCCACCTACATTCGCCCTGGCCGAGGTAACCATCAGCGCGGACTGGTTCCGACTAGTCCACTATCGATCTCCACTTTGTCCAAAGGTCCTTTTAGATATTTTGGGTTACTGCGTATGAATACCATCGCAAACTCTGTGTAAAGTCTTTTCAACAGAGTTTACAAAGCCAGAGTACACTGCATGGTATTTAAACTTACATAGCTCCTATGCTAGAGTCCCTACCGACCAAGCTACTTCAACTGTTATTTAACCCAATTCAAGCCTTTACTACGACCATTCTATCAGATCAAACCACCGCCACCGAAGAATATGGACTTTTCGAAAAGAGACATGGCATCCCTCACGTCGCCCACTCACATGGAAATGGAGCACGTGGAGGTCCCTCCAGATGATAAGGATACCAATCACGGATCAGGTGAACTAGATGAAGCAGGTTCTCTCGTCGAGAAAAGGCTTCTGAGGAGGATTGATGCTGTGTATGTCCCAATTTACAAGGAATACTGACAACGCGACCTCATTCTGACAGGTTGTTAGAATGATGCCGATGCTCGTCTTTGGTTATCTCTTGCAGTATATGGATAAAGTATCACTGGCAAATGCCAGTATCATGGGCGTCATTCCCAGCTTGGTAAGTCGCCCCCATTCTCCGATGGACATCATACTAGGATTCTCCATAACGCTGGCTCCGTTGAAAACAGCACCTTCATGGACAACAGTTCTCTTGGCTCAGTGGCATATTCTACTTTGGATACCTTGCTGCTAGCTATCCAGTGTCCGTAATTTTGGTCCGATTCCCCCTTGGAAAGACATTGGCTATATCGACGTAAGCCTCCATCAACCAGTACAATTCCAACCCCATTCATTACTGATAATATCAACTAGAATTTTCTGGGGGGTAGTTCTGATTTGTCATTCTGCAACATTCAGCTTTGCTGGAATGATGGTTGTGCGTACATTACTTGGAGTTTTGGAAAGCCCAATAGGCCCTGGCTTTACTTTGATCACAAGTATTTGGTACAGGCCATCCGAGCATGCTGCACGTCATGGCCTCTGGTACGCTGGAAATTCACTGGGTGCAATGACCGGAACACTCGTTGCATACGGTTGCGCTCACATCCAAAATGGGCCTTTAGCTCCCTGGCGTGTTTGTCACACCCCTACCTTCTGCACATTTCGATAATTCCTCTGACTCTTCTTATGGTCTTAGTGGCTTTTTATTGTCCTTGGATCTATCACCATTCTTTGGGGAATCGTTCTCGTGTTTAGGCTCCCTGATTCCCCCTTTAAGGCAAGCTTTCTAAGTCCGGCGGATCGCATCGCTGTCAATGAAAGGGCCCAGGCGCAACAAAAGACTACCAAGACAAATGAATGGTCATTGACCCAATTTTTGGAAGCCTTAAAGGATCCAAAAACCTGGTTTCTTTTTTTGATTGAGGCCACTGCAACGTTGGTAAATGGTATTATCTCTAATGTCCGTCTACACCCAAAGCCCCTTGCAGCAATGTTGCCTTTAACATATGTAACAGTTCACCTCCCTTATTCTCTCGACCTTTGGGTTCACGCAGTTGACAACTTTATTACTGAACCTACCCATATACGCGTTTCAACTCTTTATTATTCTCTCCTCTACCGCTCTAGCTCATCGACTTCGGAGGTCACGACTCATCATCTGCATGGCAGGCAACCTTATTGCGATTGTTGGAGTTTTGCTTATCCGCCAAATTCCATTTACAAACAAAGCTGGAAGGCTTGTCGGTCTCATGTTACTGTTTGCGTCGAGCAACAACTTTCCTCTTTTTTTAAGCCTAATCTCAAGTAATGTGGGTGGCTTCACCAAAAGGGCCACCAGTAATGCTGTGTTCTTCATAGCATACTGTGCAGGAAATATTGCCGGTCCACAGCTTTATATCGCATCAGAAGAGCCAGTCTATCAGGTTTGCTGCCCTCTAAACTCTTGCTTTCACACTGGGACTAACGTTCTACCAGACTGCTTTCACTTCAATGCTTATAATTTTCATTGTTGATATTGTACTTCTGGTTCTATTCAGACTATATCTCAACTATGAGAATAAAAAGCGCAATCTAGAGCAGGGATTTGAAATCGACCCTGAAGCGCCAAGTGTTGAGAATTTCACAACCTCCATGGGAAGGACGCCTAGCGAGGTGGAAGAGAGAGAGGACCAAACAGACTGGGAAAACAGAACCTTCCGTTATATCCTGTGATTTGAATCTCCAATCGTGCAAAGGAATAGGGGATCTACCCACATCATACCGCACATCTCGCCTGGTTATAGGGACATAAAGTTCGAGTTATCAGACTGCCTGGTGATTCCTATCTTACAGCACAGCCCCATGGTTAATTATAAGCTTGCTTTTATGAGGACCTTTTTCGTATATAACTTAGTTGAGGGGTATTTTGCATGGTCCAGCGTATGGCCTAAATGTATGATCAATGTGAAGAATGCAACCCAACTACAGAGAAATCGAATTCCAGGGTTGAATAATAGAGGCTAACACAAGAGAAATCAACATTAGGTTATTGAACAGTAATAAGCTCCATTTCAGGGGTGGAATCTACTCCAATATCAGCAATAGACTGCTGATAATTGCATCTGATCCGGATATCTTGTGAGCTCGATACACAAATTCGACAATTTACAACATGGTGTAACCAATGAGATCCGCTGAATCAATAGGCCTAACATGTAGGTGCCATTGAGTAGTTAGATGAAGAAGGATTTAATCGCATTTTGCAGGGACCCCAAGAATTTTGATACACGAAAAGGAGACTTTGCAGACTTGGCAATTTTAAGCAACCTTGACTATGAAAATTCGATTGATGCACGGAATACGTAAAAGAATCCGGTTTACGTTTTCTTCTTTTCGGATTCCGGATTCCGAATATGTAAATCCCTAACTCCGGGATCCGGTAGTCGGCGAATGGCGTTCCAAAGGAGTCCACACGTTAAAAGATAGGTCATTTCCCCTGATCAAACAACCAGTGTTCACCGAGCAACTTCTACAAAAGCTTTTCGTTCTTCAAACTCTATCTGAGACACATTTTCAGGTAATATTCAATATGGCGGCTGAAGAGGGGCACCTGTCAAAGCGGGGCGATGTGTACGCTCAACCAGGAAACCGAAATCCTTTGCTAGATATTCTCAACGATCAATGGCATCCACTTTCTAACCCTGGCGGCTATCTCAGTATTGGTGTTGCGGAAAACGTGAGTTGTATCTTTGACCGATTCAAGGAGACCACTAATGGATCCCTTCATAGACATTCATGCAAGAAGAGCTACTGCGCTATGTCAATACTCACAACGTGAGCAAGTCTCCCCACCAGGGATCGCCATTTTATCTCACCTTATAGCTTTAGTTTACCCTAGACTCTCATTGTCTTAGCTACGGAGACAGCTTCTCTGGCAGCCACCAACTCCGCAGTGCTGTGGCTTCTTTCGTGACACGACAGTTCTGCCCTGTTCAGCCTCTTCTTGCTCGCCATGTCGCCATTACGTCGGGAGTGGGCCCTGGAGTCGAGGCTCTTTCGTTTACACTCTGCAATACCGGGGACGGTATACTTCTGGGACGACCCTTCTACAGAGGTTTCCCCGCGAGCATGTCGTCTCGCGCCGGGTAGGCAGGACCGCCAAGCCCAGTCATATTGCATGGGCTCTCAGTAGAAGCTAAAGCTAACTGTGACTTGCCAATGGAAGAGCTACCACCATCCCCGTTTCCTTCGGAAATATCGACGCTTTCAGTATGGACGCTATCCCTTTATATGAAAAGGCCGTTCTCGATGCGAAGGCCCGCGGCATTACCGTCAAGGCCATCATGCTGTGTAATCCACACAATCCTGTTGGTGAGCAAAAGTGGAAATGTTTTGAGATGAACACGACACTAACTATGTGTTCTTTTTTCGTTGCAGGGTGCTGCTACCCGCTTGAAGTGATCAAAGAATATATGCGTTTTTGTCAAAAATACCGCATTCACCTTATTAGTGACGAAATTTACGGACTTTCAGTTTGGGATAACACTGAAACTAACGAAGTGCCCGGTTTCCATTCAGTACTCTCGATCAATTTGAAGGAGTTGATTGATCCTGAACTTGTGCATGTGCTTTGGGGAATAAGCAAGGTTTGTCAACTAGCTTTGCCTATTGGACCAAGAACTCCGTGCTTATTATTTCAAGGATTTTGGATCAAACGGTATCAGACTTGGCTGCATTATTAGCCAGCAAAACGAGAGGCTTCATGCGGCTTTGGAGAACATCGCGTACGTAATATTCACCTCCATTTTCTTCCATTCACTTCAGATCCTGACGGTCTCTCCTTCGACTTAAGGTACTTCTCCTGTCCATCATCCCTCGCTGATCGAATGACGGCTACACTATTATCCGACACAGATTTCATAGATCCTTACGTGAAGATGAATAAGGCCAAACTTGGCGAGGGGCGTGCATACGTAGTGCGCTTTTTGAAAGAGCATGGAATCTCCTATGAACAACGATCCAGTGGTGCTTTCTTCGTCTGGGCCGATTTATTCTCGTTCTTCAAGCCTCGTCTTGGAAGTGGCGTAGGTACTTCTAAGTCTGCACAGCAGGTTGAGGAGAACTCTTGGGCTCTTGAAGCGAGACTTCAGGAGACCTTTTTGAAGCACAAGTTGTTTACGGCGGCAGGAAGTACGTTCAGTCATACTGAAGCTGGATGGTTCCGCTTAACATTTGCCCTCGACTACGACTGTCTCAGTGAGGGGCTACAGAGATTGCTCACAGCACTTGAGGAATTCGGTAAGGAATGTGATTACTAGCAGGCAACGGTGCAACGGATTAGGTGGCTCGATAGAGCCGTTAAACACATTGAATTCGAGTTAAATTGTACTAGAACAATGAAAAACATTGACCGGGCGTGTGAATTCTCGGAATTGTTGATAGCCGCACGGCACATCAATTGGAGGAGGTAGGAGCACTTAACAAGGACAGAATGTACCAAGCAACCAAACAATACCTCCGTAGAAAATGTTGGTGACGGTCTGTAATCCATATACTCACAACCTTTCTGGTCGCATGGCTGGCTGGGGTATTAACATTCCATTAGAATCTGCGAGTCTAGTACATCACTAAGTCTCTACCAACCCATTCCAGGGACCCAAGAAAAGGTGCTGTGCTTTTGCCTTCAAAAATGGTTTCGCTGAAGGTCGAGGAAAGATCAGACTGCAGAGAAATACTCAATTTTGAATTGGCGTCAATACAGAGTTATCGGAGATTGTCTCATGACTTACGCCACAATTTTGTCAACGGTAAGGGCGTTTCTTTTGGTTGGCTACAATAAAGTAAAATCTAATCTCGTTCTATGGTAGACAACAAAAATGTCACCGTGGCTCGCATGGGCCATAGTGACAGAAGGCCAAATTCTATCATTGCAAACCCGCAACCGCCCTCTAGGTAATAAAAGGCCAGTCTATCTTGCTTTCTTTGTTGCCTTAGTCCTGATTTTCATCATGAGGAAAACGAGAGCATGGGAACTGATGCAAAAAAGTGCAGTAATGCCAATCTAAACTTTGATTAGGATTTGTCAGATAATTGTGATTCAAAAACCAGTAACAGGTACCAGGAATTCTTACCCCTCTCCATCCATAGTAATCTCCGCTGATATTGATAGTCTTCAAATAGTCCGCGCCAGTTGTGTAGGGACAATAAGAACAAGCGGCAGTGTCGTTCGGGTTTACCAAATAGCCGCTGTTGGCTTCTAGAAAGTCGGCCATGTATTCACCACACGTGAGCGAAGTCGGAATCTCAAAATGGGTCAACTCATCTTGGCTGCATTGGATATGGAGGCCCCAGGCAACCGGCTGGAGTAGACCCTGCGTGAGGTATGTGAACGGATTCAGATAGTACAGCCAGTACCTCCAGAAAGGCGGAATCTGGGAGTATGGGACAACAACACCCGAAAAATTGATCAGGACTGCTCCAATGATTATTGGATTGGCGAGTGCAGCAAAATATTCATTAGGGCTACATGCCGCGATTGCCTGCAGCCAGCGTCAAGGTGTTAATGAACAGACAGCCAGGATTGGAGATCCACTCGGGGAGGGGACGTACCTGTCCAATTGATGTATAAAGACCCTCGTAAACTAACCAATCGTGAGTCATGAGACGAGGAAGGTAGAAGGTGATATGACTTACGCAACATTTGCAGATAGACTTGACCGGAAATGCTAGCATTGACTGGGAATCCAACGGAAAAATACCATGTGACAAATACGAAAGTGCCACAGAGAATGAGAAGGGGGATTTCCGATAGGATCTGGGCGGCAACAAAGGCAGACCAATGATACGTCTTCGAGTTCTTTTCTCTCGTCTCGAAGATATGGCGATTCCGGATGAATAATGGCTGGAGCTGGTTTATGCATCCTGGCGCGACGGTGACAAAATTGAAAATTGCCATCATGTGCAGCTGCATGTCGAACTTGTCACTTCCAAGCATCCAGAACGTAAAGCCGCCAAACAATCCATTAGTGATATGTAAGAATATCTTATTCCAGACATAATCAGGATTTCTCCAGAGTGCGACCATTTGACGCCGGGTGACAAGTAAAACTTGATAAAGCACCGGGGTTGCAAAACCAACTTCCTTTTTCCCTTCCCTGGCTGATGGTTGTATGCTTGGCTGATTCTGTCGTGCCGTGGCGTTCAACTCGTCCAATTCTTGCATTAATTGGACAATCTCACCCGATTCAAGCCACTGTTGATGCCAATCAACATCCAAGTGTGACTGAACAACATCCACGATATGTTCGGCGGGGTTCGTGTCGGGCGGGCATGGTGCGCCCCGCTGCGTAAAGTATTCAATCACTTGCGCAGAGCCTCGCCCCGTCGGGCCGAAGTAAGCAGTCCTACCGCCCCTTGATAGCAGTAGCAGGACATCGAAGGTGTCAAACAGGGATGCCGATGGTTGGTGGATGGTACATATGATGGTCTGGCCTGCTGCGGCTAGCTTGCGCAGAAACCGACATATCTCAAATGCAGATTGGCCATCGAGACCAGAGGTTGGCTCATCGAGAAACAGCAAGGAGGGCTTCGCCACGAGCTCAGTGGCGAGAGTGAGACGTTTTCTCTGTTCAATAGACAACCCAGAATCCGGATCTATTGCCGCTTAGCCGCTTAGCCGCTGGGATTCAATATATTGACGGGGTTGTACTCACTTCCGACGATAGCGTGTTGAAGTGGGGTTAGCTCGAGCAGATTCATAACCCTGCGAACATAGTCCTGCTTTGCCTCGTCGGGTACTTTATAATCCTGACGTAGTCTCGCAGAAAATAATAGGCTTTCCCAGACAGTTGCGGTTGGCTCGTGGATGTCATTTTGCTCACAGTAGCCCGTTGTCCGTTGGAAGCTGATCCCCTGAGGCTTTCCATTTATCATAATACTACCCCCAATCCTCCCGCTGTCCTTTCTCTGAGCGAGGACATCCATTAGTGTCGTTTTCCCAGCCCCAGAGGTGCCCATGATGGCAGTGAGTTGGCCCTGCTTGATGAAACCAGAAACGCCTTGAAGGAGCTGCGTTTCCTTTCCTTCGTGGTGAACAAAGTAATTGATGTCCTTAAACGTAAATGTGACATTTTCAGTAGATCTCGTTGTAACATCCCAGGGCTCACAGCTAGCCTCTGCTCGCTCAATGTCGTTAAGCTTCGCCGCTTCCTTTGCCAGAGTCTTTCGTTCAAAAATTATCTTTTGACCGGAGCCACGGTGGAGCTTAACCTCAAAGCCGACGGCGGTCATAAATGCGAAGAAGACCCAAAAGGCTATCAGAATGGCTAAGTTGATCCACACCCATTTCTTGGATGCCCAATATGTAACGCTGATGAAGGTTTCTCCGTCAATGTATGCATCATTGCCCGACCCAATCACTGAACAACCCCGGTAATGATTGTCGGTGTAACTGGGCCCGAAGGGTATGAGCTGCGGTTCGATACATTTGAGCTGTTGGTCCGCTAGCTCGTTGGCCATAATGGCGTTGTAAGCATATACGGCAGGGTTCATCCACGCGATCCAGCGAAACCACACAGGAATATTCCTCAACGGAATCATGTAGCCTGCGAGTTTGATTTAGAGTGAATGAAAACAACAATCGCGATGAGGACCAACGTACCGATATAAACCAAAAACACTGTAGTGATAAGGCCGTTGATTTGGAACGCCAAGCCTGCATGCCGACACCACGCCCCAATCATGCGATACATCGATGCGTATGAAAGAGTGAGGACCAGTAGAAAGAGATAGCAAATAAAAAAATTGTCCGCTTTTCTTTGAAACCCAACCATGAAATAATAGATGACTTGAAAAATGGTAAATACTACCATAATTATGGGTATATCAGTGACGGCCCAGGCCAGGGCATATGCGCTAGGCCGGCAGAAGGCCAGACGTTTCTGACGCGAGATGATTTGTCTTCCCGAGAAAGAAGCTGTGGTCTCAGACATCCGGGTCATGGCAAAGTAGAGAACAGGAAAGCAAAGGGCACCTGTTTTTGCAAAGAGAGAGCTGCTGTTGGTGGGCAAATTGAAGTAGAGGCTTCCAGTTATAAGGGCGATGACGAGAGATGAACAAATCTGCAGTAAGTTGGATTGCCAGCCGCCCCAAATGATTTGAATTTGCCTAAGTGGTTGTGAGAAGATGCCGCGAAAATGAAGACTTGGACGAAAATACCTCTTGCTGCATGTCCAGACCTGATGGGCAAAGGACATGGTGTATGGGCTGTTCTCCCGGGATAGAAGGTATCTTGACCGGTTCTTTTGGAGGTTTCGCACCTCTGACAAGTCTGCAATTTCTTGCCGTAAAGATTTGTTCATCGTGGAATTCATGTCCTCGATCATTCGTTTGTATAGGTCACTTTTGACATAGCTCTGTCGCAACTCATCCGTGGTGTTGGGCACATGGCCCTCGAAGCCAGGGCGGACATTTCGCTCAGTGTGAACGGCCACAGAGGTGAGGAAATCCGATATATTAGCCCCAGATGGACATTTGAACCCCATTTTCTCGAAGTACTGTTTTGCCTCTGATGCAGGACCGTAGTATATTTGTTTGCCCTCGGCTAACACGAGTATTTTGTCGAAAAGATTATAGATGGCATTGCCTGCTTGGTACAGGGTTGCGATAATCGTTTTGCCTTCTTCGTCGGCGGATCTTCGCAAGACATGGGAAAATTCCAAAGCATTCCTGGCATCTAACCCTCGGGTCGAATTGTCCCAGCATTGTAGCGGTGCCTGTTTGTTTTCACGTCATTAACCCTGAGCTGCCATGGAAGGGAGAATGATTCGGGTCTGAATATACCTGTGTAGCCATGACTTCAGCAATAGAAACACGCTTCCGCTCTCCGCCCGATACTCCACGTATCAGTTCATTTCCCACAATGGTCTTCTTGGTGTGAGATATCCCTAGAGCCGACAGAATACAATGCGTCATGTGTGGTGTATACTTTTGGGAGATATTGAGATCTTCTGGACGACTGCACGGGCGTTTTGTGCTCGTTGCGAAGTTGGTCGTTTGCTCGACTGTCAACGTTGGGAAATGTAGGTCCTCTTCGTGGTTCGTTTGTGTCAGTAGACGTCGTTTATACCAGAAAGGAATTTTGAGGGAGACGGTGGGTTAACAAGGGCAAGGCCGACGAACCCTCAGTATTCATGACAATATAGTTGCGCAGCTCCCTGGCTTCCGTTGACCCAAGGCTTCCGAAGTGGACATCGCCCTCCACAGCCTCAAATTCTTCCCGCTGGTTTGACAGAATCTTCAGAAGGGACGTGCAGCCAGATCCGGGTCGTCCCAATACGAGTAGCTGGCATTATCAGTGAATATATCCTCCAATCCAGCGAAGGGGTTAGCTTGGCGTACCATTTCTCCTGGTCGAACTTGACCAGAAACATCTTGAACAATATGCTATATCAACAAGACATGTTAGCCATCCGATACCCCAACGAGACATTGAGAAGGGGGCAGGGGATTCTTGTTTACCCGCTTCGAAGCTTTCCTCCCACCAAAGGGATTCAGGTACTCAAGCACCGACAAACAAGTTGGGGCAAAGTCCTCGCCCAGCCCATTTACTTGCACATCGATGTTGCGGAAAGTGACAGTCAGACGTTTTGAGGGGCCATCTGACTTTACTGAGGGCAATTCATTCTTCGGCTCAAGCGTGCGCTGACTTAATGACGGGGTAGAATCCATTGTTGCGATGGGAAAATTGCTTCAGCCAAATGCATCAAATAAACATAATTTATGGCCATCACTCATATTCTTATACAGCTTTCACTTCACACGATCGTGATTTAGCGAGATTTTTTCGGGTTATTTCTAAACCGCCAACGTTTCCCAATCCATAAATCCGCAAGAGAGCAGCACCCTAACATGGGAGAATTGCATGCATCAAATGGCGAAGCCAATCATTGGTACCGGAGACCCGTGAGAAGCATTCCGTCTACGCCATGACTCAATTATGGAAGACACCGGTAGTACTAGGGAGGCGCTAACCGATGCTAACTGGAAGAGAGTTCAGCGGACTTGCGGACTTGCGGACTTACGGACTTACGAACCCAACCCGTATATGTCGAGGTTCGGCTCCACCCGTCGCCAACTTTCGTAATGGGACGGGTGGATTTCCTGACCTTCGGGCGTATATGGAATTCCGGCCGCCCCCCGCCTTCCCCCGAGACCTTGCAACATCACTTAATCACTTATCACGATTTTACTATTGTTTCCTTTTGTGGTATCATGAACCCCGACGGAATTAAAATAGCCAAGGCGTGTGAGCCCTGCCGACGACGCAAGATTAAATGCGATGGCCTAGAGCCTTGCCGAAATTGTCCCAATCAGCCAACGGCATGTATTTACCGTCGTAAGGCGCGAGTCAGGCTACGCCGGTCTGGAACGCAGACAACTGTCAATTCAGTTAATTGCAGCAGCGACCCTATAAACGCGACCGCTGGTCCGAAAACTGCGAATGGGGCAAGTCTGTCTCCATATGTCTTGGAAGCTCAACACTCTCGCGCCGAGGTCTACGACAGTGTGGCTGCTGCACACCATGCCCCTCAATTCACTGATAGCTCGCAGCTGTTTTATGGACCATCATCCAACTTTGCTTTCCTGCAGCAGGTACATCGGGCGATTTTGTCTCACGGGCCGTATGGCAAGGGTTGTGGCTCTGGTTTTGAGGAGGGAGGCTCGGGTCTGGACATGTTCATGCAGAGAAATGTTTTCTTCGGTGTTCCCTTAAGAGCCAACCTCGGGGCGGCTCAGCTCGGTGACCTCCATGATGGCATTATTCCTAGGCATCTGGCCACGGTCTACTTGGATAACTTCAAGATTGCCAGCCTGCACATCCTACCCTTCTTCACTACAGAAGACCTAGACATTCTTCTACATAGCTTCTACTCCGCTAGGGCCGACATAACTTTGCATCCCCAAAGAAGGGCCTTGCTCCTGATGGTGTTGGCTATAGGCGCATTGAGCACGACGGAGACCCAGCTGGCCGACACTCTGTTTTTACAGGCAAAACTAGAGACTACCATATACGAAGACGCTGTCACTTTGCCGATGATCCAGTTTTCGCTTCTAAGCGCGGACTATCAGCTCAATATTGGGCGCCCCAACTCCGCATATTTACACGTTGGTGTAGCCTGTCGAAAGACCTTTGCGTTAGGCCTGCATACCGTGGCAGGTAACTCTTTAACTCAGAGAGCGGAACATATTCAGGAGCGGCATGCTACTCTGTGGTGTCTATACTTTTACGAAACGTGAGGTTCCTGGAAACATATTGGCAGATATTCATAATTGACCGTGTGACTCCAACAGATTTGTGGCTTTAACAGTGGGAAGGAAGAGCACAATACGGGTGGCAGATGTTGCCTGTCCCTATCCTGATGGACGACCTGTGTTGGTCGATTTGTGTCGCCTTGCAGCCATCATTGAAGAAGCTGCTGAATTGATCTATAGTCACAAGGCTAGCTCTCTCCGGAATCTGTACACGACAGCTCAGAGCCTGCATACCAGACTCCAGCAATGTGCCGAGCGGTTTGGTCTCGGCTCCGTCACCACTGCTCAGAAAGGTACAACAGCGGAGGTGATGGCAATATTAACGCTGCATAATGGTGAGTTCGCGAAACTTCCATGCTCAAGCCGGGTTGTGCTCCGCTGACATATTTCTAGCTTACTTCCACCTTGTCCACACTATGTTTCGCCCATTTCTAGTAGCCGAATCGGCGCTTCGGTGTGCCGACAGCACGCAACAGACTGGAGATATGTGGCTTCGGCAAGCATGTAGGAATGCTACGGACGCAGCAGCTGACTCCATTGCCTTCGTCGACGCCATGTTTCGCACTATCGATGTGAGCAAGGTCAGTTACCCCACGTGTTCACTCCATTGTAGGCTCGGACTTTGACTAATTGCGAATTTCAGGTTCGACGCTATGATGCGTTCTTTATCGAGGCCAGCTGTTCAGTTCTCCTTCATAATTCGCTACAGCATCCCTCGAAGCATCCCAATAATCTGGTCTATATTCATATGGCCCTGGGTTGTCTGCAGTCTATGACGAATGGCGAACCCGTGACAAATGTGGCTCGCTCGATTCAGCGTATCGTCAGTGCCGTGGAGAATTCGATATCGCAAGTAAATCTTACTCCGACGTTAATCCCTTCGCCGTCAGACGAAAGCCCGCCCGTCAATGCGAATATAAAGTTCCCTTCCCTAGAAAATACCTCCTCTTGCGCCACAACAGACTATATCTTTCTGAGTGATAAGCAATCTCGCTTTCCTAGCAACCTATCATCCGACGGTCCCCGGCTTTCTCGAACCACGGCAGATCCACTCTCGCAACAGTTGCCTCAGCTAAATCTCGACATTCTGACAACAGATCTGTTCAGTTACTTTCAATTAGATCCCAATATGGAGTCGCAGCCCAGTGACACCTAATTCATATATTTCAATGGGTGTAAGAGTATTTGTCGGAATACCTTCCTGGGAAGTGAATCTTCATGGGTAGAAAACCCCACAAAAAGTATTTTATTATGGAATCAGTTTTCTCATCACAAATTACCTGTGTTTTGCACCATTAGTTAGATTTACCAGAGACCTCACTGTATTTGCTTATTGGTCCAATTCATCGGCATAAAACCTGTATATCAACCTCCAACAGCATTTGATGACATGGTGCTATCGTAATTCAGTTTTTAATAAATTATGAGGAATTGTCATAAGTCACCGAAGCCTGATCTTGTGTTAGAGCACCTGAATAGTCCTGTACCTCATATGTCCGTTTGACCGTGTCTATGAAACGGAGCGCCCCCTTTTTGTCTAACATCTTAGTAATTGACCTAAGGCTTGCTGAGCAACAAACCAAGGAAGTCATTTGTCGACTGCAATGCCCTACAATAGTCGAACTGAGGGGCGTCTATATTGACAGCATGTACATATATCATACATGCCAACTTCACTACCCTCATAAGTGCTCTGCTTCTTTTCTCTGTCAAAGTCTTTACCTTGGTCTAGGGACGTCCGGCGCCCTCATCACTCAGGTGAACCATGCCTCAATATCGCACTAGTCAGGCTTCTGAGGACCTATACTTTTTTCACTGGAACCTTCTCGCAAGTGAGTTCGTTACTAGTCTATGATAATTCCGAAAATGTCTCCGGTTATAAATCCGCGCGGAGGTAGACAAAGTTCCAATGTTGGAGGACCCACAAGCGGCCCAGCGGATGTTGCTTAGTTTCCCTCCAGGGCTTGCTTCATTTCCCCGCGCAAAGGACTTTGGGGATGATCATGTTGCTTGAACGAATGGTGAGGAATTTATATTATCTGTGCCCACTGCTTTCTTTTGTAATACTTAAAGCCAGCATTTACCTAAACAATATCATTTTCATTTCTTTATTTTTATTACGCCCTTGCCGAAAGCTCTACCCGGGCTTGAGTTGTTGAAAATTGTTCATCGATACCACACACATGGATCAAACTCCTACCCAATGCAGCACCAATGCTGCGGATAAAGCAAAAACCAACGACATGATCACACCAGCCGTTTCGTATGGCATCGGAGATTGTAATGTTGATACTGATCTCGGCGCCGTCGAAAAGCAAAAGACCGTCGATGGAATCGCCCACTTTCACCGTCTCGGCTGGAAACGCCTAACAGTTGTCCTGATTGTCGAGGCTATCGCTCTTGGAAGTCTCGGATTACCAGCTGCTTTCGCAACGCTCGGTATGATTCCATCCGTCATCATCAACATTGCCACTGGCCTCTTTGCGATCCACGCCAGCCTCACCCTCGGCCAGGTTAAGCTCAAGTATCTTGAGGTTGCACACTATGCCGATGTAGGCCGGCTCGTTCTGGGCAAATTCGGCCACCAACTTTTCAGTTTCATGTTCGTAGCACTGTTCATACTCCTCATCGGATCTCATTGCCTCACTGGAACAATTGCTCTAGAGATTATTGCTGAGAGCAACATATGTTCTCTTTTATTTGGCATAGTGTCCGCCATAATCCTGCTGATACTTGCTATACCACCATCATTCGCCGAGGTCGCCATTCTCGGCTATATCGATTTCATCTCCATTATCCTAGCCATTGGGATTACTATAATCGCGACTGGCATTCAGCAGTCCCCGGACAGTCTAGCTGTCTCGTCATGGTCTCCATGGCCAAAGGAGAACCTCACCTTTTCTGAAGCCTTTATCGCCGTTAACAACATTGTCTTCGCATATGCATTTGCCACCGCACAGCCGTCTTTTATGGATGAGATGCATACACCAGAAGACTATTCCAAGTCTATATGGTCACTAGGCATCATCCAGATCATCATTTACACGTTGACAGGGGCAACCATTTATGCCTTTGTGGGCCAGGATGTCAAGTCACCCGCCCTCTTATCCGCCGGGCCGCTAATCTCGAAAGTCGCATTCGGCATAGCCCTGCCCGTGATCTTCATCTCTGGGTCTATCAACACTACAGTTGTTTGCCGTTACCTTCATGGGCTGATCTATAGAAATTCGGTTGTACGTTATATCAACACCAGGAAGGGCTGGATTACATGGCTAGCCCTGATTTTTGTAGTTACTCTTATTGCCTGGGTTATTGCGGAAGCCATTCCTTTCTTTTCCGAACTTCTATCTATCAGCTCATCATTGTTTTCGTCTGGCTTTTGTTTCTATATCCCCCCGATACTATGGTTTGCGCTCCTAAAGGATGGCAAATGGTATTCGAAGAAAAATTTTTGGACAGCAATTCTCAATGGGATTGTTTTTGTTTTTGGTATTGTGGTTCTCATATGCGGCGCATACGCAAGCATTAATGGGTTGGTAAGTCTTCACATCCTTATTTTTTATTCATTTCACAGTATTAAAATATTTCAAGGTCCGACGGTTTCGTGATGGAACGGTCAACAGGCCATTTACGTGCTCGTCACTTGCTTAGATGTCGCCTATCTGTCACGGCCCCACACTGAACATGAGCATCACTTATGTAGACAGACCTTTTTTCTCTGTTTTACGTATCTGATCTAAGCGTTGAAACCGCGCCTAGGTTGGACATGTTGGAAAGTGCAACACCGACGAACTAGGTCTTCCCCCCGGGAAATAAACCCTCAATCACAATCTCAATAAACCACTTATCTTTACATAACCCAGTAGCCCTACATATCAAGGAAAAGGATCGTGTTTTACAGCAGGCAATTGAATATCCCCTGGCGTCTATGCACCCCGTAGGTCTTGCAATAGTTTAGTATGCCCCCAAAGAATAAAAAAGAAACATTCAATCATTTCTCTCCTTTAATCGACAAAGGTCATGTTGTAAAGGATGCAAGAAAATGAAAGTGCGTTTATCCATGGAACTTGTCGCAATTAAAAAGCATTCGTCGCCTTTGTATCCTTTTCCTATCCCACAAAGCTAATATTAATTCAGCGACGCTATACATAATCGGCATATATGCTTCAAACCTTTAATTTTCTTCCAAATCAGACTGATGGTATAGTTGTCAAGTTTGCGCGGGAGATTCTCGATGGATAAGCATGGAAACAGCCAAACAGGGTATCTTCATACTTAAGGCCACAAAACTCGCCGATTGATTCTAGCACTAGGTCGAGTTTACCGAATTTTTTTAAAAAAAGGACAGCCTAAGAAGAAACAAGCCAATGGGTGGAATGGTGACCCCAGATAGATTGGCAAAGAATTGAAGGTGAGCGGAGGGTAGCAGCTCGCCTAGGTTGGGTGCACAATTAGACTACGACATTGCCCGTCCATGGGCCTAAGGTAAGGCCCATTGCCCGTGGGCCTTTCGAACTTAGAGGCCCAAAGCCCATCATTATGCAAAATTAATGTAAAAGTTACCCCTCCATTTTATGTATATAACTAACTCTTGGCAATGTCCACTTTGCCAAGAGTGCCCACGAATGTCTTGGCGACGCTAAATATATCTCCACTTTAATGGGCATTGTTGCAGTCCATGCACAAGAGAGAGGGTTAGCAGGAAATAAACAGCAGTAGTAATTTGTTGTTCATCTAATACAACTGCTAAATTATTTATAACATAAAAACTATCTAAATATGTTACACCTAAATTTGCATATATTATAGCTATACCTAATAATATAAAACAAGATGCTAATCCACCTACCCATTCATCTGCACGGCCTTCCAGATCCCAGTCCGATCCAGTGGTAACCCCTTCTGCCCAATCGATCAATGACCCAAGTGCAATGGCTGGTCTCCAAGCTCAGACTCTGCGCAACTGTGTAATCCTCGCCATAATCAGCATTTTCGGCCTTTCTTACTTTTAACTCTTTATGATTCATTTCTTACTCTTCCACTTCCCCTCATCCCGGGAGGGATTTTTGACTCACTGTCGGTGCTCGTCTTTTATGCAGGCGTTATCCTCTGGTGCTTGTCTAGCCTAGTATATCGTATCCTAATCGCATCCTACGGCAGTAATACGGCAGAGTGGCAAAAGCTAGAGCTTGGAGGCGTTTTAGTCCTGATATGGACGACTACTATTCCTTCCGTGGTATTACTGTTCCGTGCCCAGCCTTTCCTCTAGCTCGGATACCTAGCGGCCTTCACCTGCTGTCGGGACTCTAGTGGATTTCCTAGTCTGGGATCCCAGTATCTGTGCAGCGCGGTACTGTTTCCCGTACAACTGTGTCTTATTAGGCTTACTTTCGCTGGTACCAATCATTCATGCCTTCACCGGGACATTCCAAAGCCCCCTACTATTAGCGGTACATTTTGGTCGAGTCGCTATCTGGAATTCTCTTAGGGCTATCTTTTATCTGCTTCGGCCGTTGGAGAGGATGGGCGTGGTGAATGATTGGCGGCCCAGTCTCTATGTGATACACTTAGTCCTAGCCTATAGCGCTGTCACTTATTCGAGGGTTATCCTGTATACGGTGCTTAAGTATACAGCGTAGACTCTATTTATATCTCGGGGAGATAGGATAGACTTCGAAGCAGGACGATACTCGTATACTTGGAGGCCGGGATGAAATGCCTGCTCGTTGATAAAAGGAGGATAGTCGGTATTTACTTCTTATAGGCCTAGTTAGTATATATATATCTAATATAACCATAGTATTGAATACAGAATATCCCAGATCAGTAGAATATAACCCTTGATTTAGTTGTCAAGTTCCGTAATGCAGGGGTGATTACTGGCTCTAGTAGGCGGGAGTATTCTTATCGCTCCCTCTTATTTGGCGATAACGATCGCACAGAGACGTGAACTGTTTTTACCAGACCAACCGGCCGCCTAGGATAGATAGTCTACTACCGGGTGCCTTGGTTCCCCTTTAAAATATTGTGCAATCTCAGTGCGCCTTTAAGGTCTACCCTTTTTTTCTGAAAGCAAACGGCCTAATATCCGAAGATCTTCCTAAGGCTGAACGTCTTAGACCCTAGGTCTTGCAGGACCATACTACTGCAGCCCCGTTTTGTAGGATTTTGTTATTTTGTTAACTCGAATTCAAATATCGTTTATGTTTTACAGTTGAATATCGCTCCTTATCAACTGGAACCGTTTCAACCGCGACCTTGGTTGTGTATGCACGCTTACCTGTTGCCCCATATGAACCGTGGGCCCTGTTTGTTTGGCCCCCAATTGTTGCTTGGTTGAACGTTTTTATTATTTTGAATTTGACAACGGTTGTCCCCCAATTTATCGTCTTATTCCACACACTACAATACCGGTGAGGACACTATGGCTACACTGTGGCTACTGTGTCTTGATGCCGAACATCCCACCAAGCTAGGAACAAGACATATCATAAGGTGCGCTTTACAACAGTTTGTACCTCATGGTCAAGAGCGGTTACCGCATAAGGTACTTAACCCTACTTATTAGGGACCGGATGGGCTAGCTTGTCTTCCAGCGCGATATACGACATGTCTTCCGCGGATATTAACTAAATATATTTTCTTTATTCAAGTGTCTAGGGTTAATTTGACCAAGTGCTCCGAGCCTCAGCAAATCCCTGCTTCTTAAGTCGCTCATTGCCCATAATACATTGATGCCGTAAGCAGATGTCTCCTCTCCCTATACAATGCTGGAGACGTTGCCGTGTGAGATTCTGATGCTAATCGCCGATTGGGTAAGACCTGGTATGTTTGGTTTGTTTGATTCACATTCTCTGACCGCCTGCTAGCTGCCGCCCGCCCACCTGCGCGCTCTCAGCCGAGCCTCGTCGAGATTATATTCAGTTTTAGTTCCTTATATCTACCGTACCATTACATTCCACACAGCAAGTGAGTAGGCGCTGAACGTTCTAGATATCGACTCCTTTCTCCACCTCGGTCAATCCCGGTCCGTGGGCTATCTTCAGCACGTGAGAAACCTACAAATCCAGGCTCTATTTCACCTCGTCCGGTTTAATTGATATTGACAGAAATCGACGTGTACAACAATGTATGGTAAAATTGACATATGTAAAATTCTCTCTCTAACTAAAATGACAAAGTCCGCTCCTTTTTCCAATCTATGCGGACATCGCTGATGGAAGCAATGTATGTATTTTTGTATGGTACCGTTATCATGACGGTCCATCGATTTTCCGGTTTGTAAAGACCTTGTAATTTCCACCATGCATTATGCATGGTACTCGACAGATATGTATATTACAATATCTTTCGCGCGGCGGGGCTGCCGGAGTCTCCGACCACATTAGGAGCCTCGGACGAGGCGACGGCATATCAGTAGTTTTTAGACGATATAAAGGATCAATTGTAGTTGATATTCACCTACTTAAAGCCGAATAGCCTAAGCACTTTCGAGTCTGTATGCGCTAGTGCCTATTCTCCGGATCTGTGACTGACCAGCAATAGATAGCGGCTTAGAACATGTATCCCAATAGGAGTTCTCGATCAGGGAGGCTATCTTAGCCGATATCAACAGCGCCTCGCCCGTCTCTCACTCGTCACCGACGGTACCTATCCTCAGATATAGCACCGTCTGGAAGGGCTGTCCGAACTATTAAGTCTGACCGTCTAGTGGGCTCCTGGGAACGTACCGCGGGCTCCTAGATACTTATCGGGGTATTCCTATTAATGGTTTTGTCTTCGGCTTACAACCTACTTAGTAATAGCGCGAAAGGTATGACGTTATACGCTTAGGAAAGCCTTCGGCTTGTGCGCTTATTAGCGAGAGAAGTGCTTAATTATCGTCACCTGCTAAACATTGATTCTTCTAGTTGGCCTTGATACGGGAAGGGTTCTAGATCCTTAAGGAAATCCATCTAATCGCCCCCGCTATGGTAGTAGTCTAAAGCCCGATTAGGCGGTCGCAGGCTGGTAAACGTAGGCTTCCGCAAAGCCCAACTTTGGGCCCAAGGCCCAACCCCCGGCCCATCGTGGGCCCCCATTGGGCCCCCACGAAAGCCCACGATTGCATAAAATATGGGTCTTGGCGTTTATAACGGTGCTAAGTCATTGAAATAAATAACTGTTTTTTACAGCTGTTCTGGTTTGTTCGTCGAACATTGCTACATTATCACGATAATAAGTTGGAAATTTTATGTAATTACTCCGAATTTGAAGCTAATGGGCTTTATATTATATTGATTACCAGTAAAAATTGATATTAATCATGATATGGTAGTGTTCTATTAATTTAAGCATTTGTTGACTGTGGACTGTTAGAAATATATATTTATGGTAGAGGGGAGTGTGTATGTATTCGGGGTAACTACAAATATAAATAGAAATATCTTATTTATACTTTATTTTCTATACAATTGATATCATATTTAAGCTATATTTCTCTTTTTATATATTCTTATTTAATATATATAGTTATTTATATAGTGCGCGAATTGCGAAGGTTTATAAACTATCTCTATGTTCTTATACGTGCTCCGATAT